TGTTTGGGAGGATCGCGACTTGAAGCTGCAGAAGTTTCAGCAAGAGGGATCGAAGTATTTTGCACTTTGCTGGGCGCTTGGAGGGCTGGTCGGTTCAGTGTCAGATGCGTGCGATCCGAGGTATGAGCATGCAAGTTGGTGGAACTGGACTCACTGTGACGGGTGCAAACAGGGTCATCCTGGTCGATCCAGCTTGGAACCCCTCAGCTGATGCTCAAGCAATTGACCGTGTACATCGCATTGGTCAGAAGCAGGAGGCAGCTTGGGCATAGACTCTTGCGCTCGTGGCATGGACTCTATGGCACCCGTCCGAGTGTGGCTGGGATGTGACAGGTAGTCGTGTACAGGCTCATTGGCTCCGGTGCCATCGAGGACAAGATGTTTCGCCTTCAGATCTTCAAAGGCGGCCTCTCGAAGACCTTCATGGAGCACGAACAGCAAGTCCGCTTTTTCACTCACCAGCAGTCTGGCCCCTAGTGCTTCACGTGTACGAAAGCAGCATCTGAAATTCTTCGAAATGATTGTAAGGCTGAAAGCCCTGTTCGAGCCTCCCAACCAGTACTCCTGGCGAATTCCATAGTTCATTTATGCGTGAATCGTTCTTTTCGGAAGGTCGATGTCCACGCAGACCTTGATGGCCGAGCAGATCGGAACAGAGGCGCTCGAGCATGAAGACCTCCTGAAAGCATTCCACTCAGTCAGCACGCCCTAGATGCAGCGCGCGGATAGCTCCAGCTCTCACCCAGGTGGTCGCTGGCGATGTTGGAAGCACAGATGACCCTCAAGCCCTGGCGTTTTGGCAGAGTTCTGACGTTCTGGGCTTCTCCGACTATCAGCGGCTCTTCATGTTCCTGGAGCAAACCGAACCTCCCGAACAAGAGGCAGCTGCAACTTGTGAACGCATGTGAGAGGAATGCAAACTCTCGCCAGGTTGTGGAGCAGGCCCGAGAAATGGCAGCCAGGCCGGAGCTGCCCTGCGTCGATCACTTGTTTGGTCACCAAGAGGTTGAAGAGCGAGGAGTATGTGAAGGATCAGGTCATTCAAGGAAAGTGGCGTGGAGAAAGATTTGCAAAGGAGAATGTGCTTGAGCCTTGGTGATGCCCACAGAATCCATTGGCATGAATTCTCAACCGTTCCTGATCAGGAATCCACAGACGGACTCCTTGCCTTTGCAGGATTCCTGATGTTCATCCCAGTTCCTTGTTTTGTACAGAATCCGGCTTCCCATGAGCGCTGAAATCTGTACAGCGTGCGCCTTGAAATTATCGGCACAAGCTGATCAATTCGATGCAGATGCACATCATTGAGATCAATCCTAGGGTCAGTTTTTGGTCAGATTTGGGTCATTTGGCCAAATATATCTGCCATGATTCAAAAACTACATTGTAAACGCTGCACGCGATGTGGGCTTGAGCAAATGATGCTAGCTGGCGGTCTGGCGGTCTGGGGCGGTCTGACGGTCTGGGGAGGGGGGCCCCTTGATGCAATATGAATCACCAAGGGATATGGATTGAAAGATATATATATATACATATATATATATATATTCAATTTGAATATTTGTTTATTGAACTATAATATAATTTAATTTTTGATGTTTGTATTATTTATGTATTTGGTTATTATATTATTATTTAAATATCTATATGTATATATATACATATATATTGAATGAATTATTTATATTATTATTTTTTTGATTTTAATTATCACAATTATAATTTAAATAATTATATATATATATATATATTTAAATAATATATATATATATATATGTTTTTTTGTTTAGATATTATAGATTTGTTATGGGGTTGTTCTTGTTTGGGTTTTTTTTATTGTAGTTGTTTTTTTAATTGATTTGATTTGTGTAAATTTATTTATTGGTTTTTTGTTTTGTTTAAATTATTGATATTTTTATTGTTTTAAATATAATAGGTTTATATATTTTAAACTTACATAAAGATAATAAAATTTAGATTTGGGTTAAAAATTGTTAATTCGATTAAACCGAATATAAAAATCATTATGATAAATAGATTTCTATTTATTATACCAAAAATTGTGTTATTTTTTTTTTCTAATATTTATAATTTTATTCTTAACTATATATATAATTAAATATAATTGTATAATTATATATATTTAAATTTATTGAATTCTTATTATAATTCTTTCTTGATATATATTATATCTTTTTTATAATTAATTTTAATTTATTAAAATATTATATTATATTATTAATATATTATTATCTTATATATATATATTAATATTAAGAAATAATTAATCTTATATATATATATATAAATAATATATATATATTAAAAATATAATTATATTTCTTAAATATATATATATATTCTATTTATTAAATTATAATTGTATATAAATTATTAAAATATTGATTTATATTATATAATAATTAAATTATTATAATATTTATTTTTAAAATACTTATGAATATAGAAATTCGCACATATTATTTTGAAATGAAATAAATATATTATAACGATTTTAATTTCGATAAAATTATGTTTTTATTATGAAATATAAATTTATGCTATTTATAGAAATTAGGTTATTTATTTAATATTCTTTATAATAATTAATTTTATTCCATTTTCTTCCTGGGTAAATATTAAAAATATATATTGAAATAATAACAATTAATAATTGTTATTACCGAAAGGGATTTATGTTGGCGAGTTTGGGTAGTATAACTATAATTAATGTATATTTGAGATTGTAAATGATTCCTAAAATAAGGAATAATTTATTTATGACTTCTTGGACAAATCATCTAAGAAAGGAAACCAATCCACAAAAAACAAAACATATATAATTCTAATATTTATTATTTTGGTTGTAAAGTAATACAATTTCACAAATTCGATATTCGGTCAAATTAATCCTATTTGTCGATCCTCTCAAAACCTGCGCCATATCGCTTGTTAATTTTACTTAAGACAAAACCACGGCTCTACGCGCTTCGATCTATATAGCTAACAACAAATAAAATGGCAATGCGAAAAATGGATGAATCCCTTTTTGAAAATGGCACTATCTCCTAATTATCAATTTAGATTAATGATTTAGATTGGCATTTGGGAAATTAGGAAATAATTTCTTATTTAATTTTAACATAATCTAAGGATTTAATCCCCAAGCCACTAATCCAAACCAACAATTAGGGGTGAGTTAAGGCGGGTGCTAAAAAAGGGAAAACAATCATGAAAAAGATTTCTAGTGTATTCCAATCCGTTAAAAACAACCCACAAACCGAGACCAGAGCGTTCAAGACGCGATATCTTAGGAGCCAAGGTCTAGGCCGTGGTGGGTGAACCAAGAACAGAGAGAGCCCGTGTCGGCAAGATATGTTTTGCAATTCAGACATCAACATATTTTATCATATGTATTAAAAACACAATCTTCGTATGCAAAATGCATATCATTCTCCAAATACAGATCACGAGATGTATTGAGGGCTGGGCTAATCGCTCTCAGGTACGTCTGGAAAAGAGACTTGCATCGCTAAGGCCGGCTCGATAAGGTCACACTAAAGATTAATTATGAATATAGAGATATAATATTCACTCATCGGAAAACACATAACACGATCGCAGGACTGGTGCCACATTGGTATAAGGCAAGATCGCAATACAAATAAGCATAGACAAAAATACAAGCTATCATAGCTGATACCCAGAATTGGGCCATCGACAAACCCCATATCCCTAGTCCATCCTATCTTAGGAACTGTATATTTACCAAAATGAGCCTCGAGCCTTTGCCTTAGACCCTGCCCAGGCAAAATATTTCGAAAGATTGCATTCTACACTAAGCTAGACAAAACAAAAGTGTGCCTCAGGCGCCCGATACTAGTATATAAATACATAGTCAGTGAAAGGCGGTCGCCTGAGCAAGGTAAGAACAAATCCGCGGGTTGTTGGCTTCAAAAAATCGATCCATATATGTAGTTATTGCAAGCGCAAACGAAAACACGATCGATCAAACCATATCCTAGGTGCAAGCAAAACCAAACTAATTTCGCCCAAAGCATTGAAAAAAAAAAAAAAAAAAAAAAAAAACCATTCCAAACCATTTTTTTTCCGAAATATTCCGGATACAATTCCCAAAATACTCGGAATATTTCAAGAAATGGTAAATAACCGATTTTCCCGAAATATCTAAAACATTTCGGGACATTAGTTCCTACAAAAAAAAACCACTACATCTTCCGGATTATGGCCGGAAAAACCCGGACAAATTTCGGCAAATGATTCGTCGAAAAAATAATAATAAATTTCACGATTTAATTTTATAACATAAAAATAAATTAAATATCAAAGACCCTTTAATTCCTTAAACAAAAAAAATAAATATATAAGCATAAATAATCCAAAAACATAAATTAAGCAACATAATAAAAAAAATAAATATTTTAAAAAAATAAATATAACTATATATAAAATATTTTTTTTTTTTTTTAATATATATTAATTAAATATCGAATTATATATATTAAACACTATTAACTATATAAAAAAATATAATTAAACATATAAATATTTTATTTATCAATCATAAACCAATCATTTTAATAAATATATTTATTTGAACCCAAATATTAAACATTATATATTTACAATTATATTCAATAAAGAGATCCCGTTAATTCCATCAACAAACGGGAAAAAGAAACATTTTTTTTTTTTTTTTTTAAAAAAAACGAAGAACCAATAAGAAAAAAAAGAGAATATACGAAAAAAAAAGAGAAAGAGAAAAACAAAGAACAAGACAAAAAAGAGAGAGGAAAGAAAAAAGGAAAAAGAAAGAAAAAGAGAGAAAGAGAGAAAGAGAGAGAGAGAGAGAGAGAGAGAGAGAGAGAGAAAGAGAGAAAGAGAGAAAGAGAGAAAGAGAGAAAGAGAGAAAGAGAGAAAGAGAGAAAGAGAGAAAGAGAGAAAGAGAGAAAGAGAGAAAGAGAGAAAGAGAGAAAGAGAGAAAGAGAGAAAGAGAGAAAGAGAGAAAGAGAGAAAGAGAGAAAGAGAGAAAGAGAGAAAGAGAGAAAGAGAGAAAGAGAGAAAGAGAGAAAGATAGGCAAACAAATAAATAAAAATGGTAATATTAATCAAAAACAAAAAAAAGAAAGAATAATAAAAAATAAATGGAATTTAAAAGGCAGAAATGTGGCTCACGGCAACGCGGAAATATATTATCTTTGTGAAATAAACCGCAGAAATAAGAATATATAAACAGAAAAATAAAAACAGAAATAAATATAAATAATTATTATTAAATAAATAGATACAAACAAATAAAGAAACTTAAAAAAAAGAATGGTAAATAACCTAGCCCAAATTCTTCTAAATTTTGGATCGGGGGCCTAGTTTAACGCAAAAGGATTAACAAATACGGACATATAAAAATAAACAAAACAAACCGAGAAACAGATAGACAAATGCAAATTAAAAAACACAAACATCAAAAAGATTAAGATACACAAAACTACATAAAAATAGACAAAGAAAAATAAACAATTTAAAATAAATAAAGATATACAAAAATAAACTACGAAATACAAAAAGACACAAAAATACGGAGATACCCAACACGAAATTTTCGAAAAATTTCGACTCAAACAAACTCCCTCACAATAATTTTTCAATAAATTAGTATTGGTAAATCTATTTTGGTCGAATTATATTGTTTTATGGTATAAATGATCGCCTTTTTATATAGCTAATAATTTTGTTTAGAATTTATGGCAAATTATTTTATATAATATTATATTTCTAAAATTATATTTAATAAATATAAATAATTTATATTATTTTTTTATTATTATTTAAAAAAAATAAAAAATCGCCAAATTCTAAAAAAATGGTTATAATCCAAAATTCGAATATATATATATATATATATAATATCAATAATAAAAACCAGCATATCATTATATATATATATATCTTTACTGTATATATATATATGTTTCTTGTTGTTGGAATAATTAAAATATTGTCTTTTTCTCTGCATAGAATGCCATCTCGAGCTGACAGACTTCCACGATGGGCCTTGCACAAGATACCGTCGCGGGCTGACAAACTCGCACGACACTCATTGCGCTCGCTGCACAAGATGCCGCTTCGGGCCGACAGAACTTTGCGGGGCTTCACGTCTTGGCCGTTCAAGGCATCGTCCTCCAGGTCCACCTCAACCTCCTCAAAGTCCTCCTCCGGCCCCTGTCCCTCCGGCTGCGCGCCAGCGCCTTGCTTCACCTCCTCCTCATCTGGCCCCTGTCCCTCAGCCGGCTGCGCGCCAGCTCCTTGCTTCACCTCAGTCTCCTCGAAGTCTTCAGCCGGCTGCGCGCCAGCTCCTTGCTTTACTTCAACCTCGAAGTCCTCATTTGGCTGTCCCCCAGATTGCTCAGGCTCCGCCGCGGGCTTCTCTGACCACTCCTCTTGCCCTGAGCTTCGGAGCACCTTTGGCTCCGTCTTGGGCTTCGTCTTTGTCCCTGCCCTCTTGCGCGAGCCTTTTGCAACCAGTTCTTTGGGCTTGTCAGGCACTCTCAACAGCAGGGCACGGGCATCCTTTGGCACGTGCATGCGCATCCGTTGGTGCCAGGCCCGAGCAGACTCAACCACTCGGCCCACGCTCTGTGTGCCTGCCATCGGTTCAGCGCACTTACCTTCCCAAAGATCCGGAGGTGCCCTTTTTTCAGGTGGTCTCCAAGCAAACCAAAAGCACCACACCTTTTGTTTTGGGGGGTCCCTAAAAAACCGCCACAGCCGGCTAGCCATCCCCTGCCCTGCCTGTAAACAGTTGGTCCAAGTCTTCGGCTCGAACGGAGATGAGGGAGCTGTCCACCACCGTCATCCGCCGCAGAACCTCCACCAAGTCCTGCGCTCGCAGGGCTGTTTTTTTTTTGGGGGGGGGGCGAAAGATTTCTGCGTGAAGTATAAGACTTCACCAACCTGAAATAAGGTGGTTGGGGAGGTATTCCCCACATAAACCAAAAAAATGGGGTCTCGTGTCAGGTCGCTACAATTCACCCAGGATATGCCATGGACTTCCCGCGCCTTTGCACAGGCCAATGGAGTCCAAACCACCACAGGCCTCAGCCCCGCAATTTGTGGCCACTAGGCTTGTCAGGATCTGGTTCTACTTGCAACATCTGGTTGGAATCCACCGTTGAAACGCAATTCCTCGCTCAGGGAGTTTTGCGATGCAAGGCCTCACCTTCAAGAGGCGCATCACACAAACACAAACACAAACACACAAACACACAAGCACACACACACACATACACACACGCCGACATATTTACTCTGCCCGACTAGCGCCTGCCACTAAGTCTTAAAGACCATGATGGCCCACTAGTGCGCAGCGAATGTGTGCGACTGATCTGCAACCATGGGGCTCGCCATTCCAGGAAGGGAACACGAAGCGCACCTTCCCACAACCCCCCAAAGCTGCGGATCATATGGCACGAAGAACGTGCGGCAAATTCTGACATGTGGCTTTCGCTTTTTCGTGGGTTCATTGGAACCTTGAATGCGATCCAGCCTTGTGCAAAAATGTTCTGGGGCAAGCTGAAGCTGCATCACGCCACTGTGGGCGATGCCTCTGGTACTGCTGGTCGCCGACCAAAGGCAAGCCCACATGCCTCAGAGCGCAAGAAAGGCGAACAAACTTAAAGGTTGGTGCATTCACTGCTCAAGGAAGATGTATCAAATCTCAGCGCAGGTCTCGCAATGCACCCGGATCTGATGGGTTCTGCCTGGCGCAAAGGCACCCGGACCGCTTTGGATTTGAAAGATTTCATCTCCGAAATGCGCCTGTGAGAAGGCGGAGATGTAACAAAGTATAGCGGCCCTGAGGGGTTTGGAACTCGGCCAGCTGCTCGTACTGAGTGAAGGATGGCACGCCCCAGGCACGTATCTCACACCTCCGCGTGCGGGTGTAGCCAGATTTGTCGATCTTGGCCGAGATGGTGCCGCGGGGCGGAAGGCCCTTCTCGCGCAAGCTGCCGTAGACCAGCGCCACGTAGTTGCGGAGGAAGCCTTGCTGCGCCTGCAGTTGCTTCGCCCACCTGCGAAGCGGAGTACTCATTTTTGGGCTGCTTTAACCGGATACCAACGGGGAACCAAAAGGAAACCAACCGTTTTTGGGTGACACACACCCAAGAGGCATCTGCCAGGGCTGAGGTGTGAAACATGCGCAAGCTGCCGCGCCTGAAAGCCTCTTCGCTCTTTGCCACAAGCAAGCACCCGGAGGTGCCCACGTCCAAACGGTGCAGCATTCCGAAGAGGTGCTCAGCAGTCATCACCTCCTCAAACACAGGATCTGCACCAAAACGCAAGATGAGGTAGTCCTGAAGTGCAGCAGATGCCCGCATTGAGCAAAGCTTCTGTACCCAAGACTTCCGCTGCTCAGACGTCCAGTTGCGGGACTCATTGAGAAGGTTAGCCCCATGGTTGGTGCAATGCCATCCAGCCGGCTTCATCAGAACAACAAAGTGGCCGTCTTCATAAACGAAGGACGGCTCATCTCTCAGCTTTTGGCCCTCGGGATTGAGCCAAAGACCTCGCCAGTTGCTGGGCTCTGGTTGCTGAAAAATGCCGGAGGACGCTCCCGCCAGGCTTCCGCGGGAGTAACCTCTGTGATGTTGGGCGACTTGGCCACAGTCCAAATGAACGATCATATTGTGCTTCGTGCTGCTGGTCTGGCACGTGACTTTGCAAGAAGCCATGCAAACGCTGATTGCGAGCACCCTAAACCGTGAGGAGGCCAAGAAATCGTCCAAATCCTCCTGGCAAGCAAGTCAGCATCCCCCAACACAGGACTGATGTTCCCTCAATGTGGTCTTCAAGCGAACAACATGTCATGCACCTGGAGATCGGAACTGCACAACCGTACGCGTGCAGCACCGTGCTGCGTCGACTTCAATTTTCAAGCATTGCAGGACACTGCGGCAGCGTCAGGGCGCAACACAACACAGCATTGCAGGATAAGGCGAGAAAGAGACAGAGAAAGGATCAGAGAAAGGAGCAGGAGGAGAAGGAAAAGAAGAAGGAGAAGGAGAAGGAAAAGAAGAAGGAGAAGGAGAAGGAGAAGGAGAAGACAAAGAAAGAGAAGAGAGAAAGAGAAAGAGACAGAGACAGAGACAGAGACACAGACAGAGACTGAGAGGGCTTTCCGCTTGCCAAATAACCAGCTTGATGAAGCACAGCTGAACCAATGCTTGAAACATAACACCCCGGCCTTGAATGACTTAGGCACATGGCTTCTTCAAGGGTAATCAAAGCCGGTGATGTTTGGTGCTGGGATTGTCGAATGATGCGGGCGTATCACCATCTTTCTTAAGTTGGAGCCTCAACCCGTACTGAAGGCTGAAAACAGAATGGAAAGTGAGTGTCGCTCTGTGTGCGCAAGCGCTTGGCCTAAGAGATCTGCGCAAGTTGCTCTGCGAGCGCAAGTGCTCTGTGCAAGTTGCACGCAAGTGCTCTGTGCAAGTTGCGCTGCGCAAGCGCTCTGCGCAGGACTGCTACGCATGCTCGGAACAAGCTTCTACGAGCAAGTTCTCTGGCTCTGAACAAGTTGCGCGCGCGCGCAGAACTGGCCACAACACAGCGACCCTTCAACCTGATTCCAATTGAGTCACCCAGAACCATGCAAATAATTAAGAAGGTGGCCGCAGCTATTTATGGTTGGGATTGTCCCTTACTAACCTTCATCTACCCGTGTTTTGATTGTGGCTCAATTATCAGTTGTCGGTCCGGACCTGCGAAAGTATACTTCGCGTCGTATGTTCGTCGTTTAAAAGTTGCGATCTGCCAGCCGAAGCCTTCTGAAAGTGCCTTCTGAAAGCGCACTTCGCGCGCTACTTTCGCGCTTGAAGGTTGCGATTTACCAGCCGAAGCTGCGAAAGTGTACTTTGCGTGCTGCCTTCGCACTTGAAAGTTGCGATTTTCCAGCCGGTTGGCGAGTTGCTTTCGCGCTGCCGCCTTTCTAACTTAGAAGCCGCCTAGATAATAGCAATTCTACTGGCGTTTTGCGCGGTTGACCACCTCAATCCAGGGGTCGCACGCCCACCGCGGAAATCGCAAACAGTCCTCGGCTTTTGCGCATTAACCACGCCACTAGGGTCGCGCAGGCGCCTCAGAAATCGTAAAAAAGTCCTCACTTTTTGCGCATCATTACTTTCGTGTCCACACGCGAGCTTTCTCGTGCGAATTGGCTCGTGCAAGTTTGGCTGCGCGAGCTTTCTCGAGCTAGTTGGCTCGTGCAAGTTTGGCCGTGCCAGCTTTCTCGCGCAAGTTGGCTCGTGCAAGTTTGGCTGTGCGGGCTTTCCCGTGCTAGTTGGCTCGCGCAAGTTTGACGGTACGAGCTTTCTTGTGCACGTTGGCTCCTGCAAGTTTGGCAGTGCGAAAAAAACAATCGTGCAAGTTGGCCCGTGCAAGTTTGGCGGAACTGAAAGCGCTCAGCAAGCACCTGCAAACCACTCACCACGCGCACATCAAACAAACAATCAAACACCAAACAGTACCCATTCATCAACACCTGAAATAGCATGGGCAAGCAGAAAATAACACTGTGTGCCAGGACATTGTCACCAGCACGTGGACCCCTCGTGCCAGCACCGCATGCAGAAATCACCCACCAGCACGTGTGCCACGTTGAACAGAACTGTCAGAACTCGAAAATCATCCGGTGATATTGGCCCACAGCCAATATGGCCATGGGTCAAAAGCCCGTACCCCCAGTGAACATCCCAATCCCACCTAAAATAGACTAAAATGGGTGGTGCACCTACCCCAAAATGGCACCATTGGTTTTGACCCAATATGACTCGCGTCATGCTTCGAACTTGTCCTGAACGACATTCGTGTTGCGCAAGCTCACCCACAAAGGACGAAAGCGCCTTTGGCCGCCCCACACCTGGTGTTCTGCTGGGTACTGCGGATGAAGACTGATGGTGGCCAGGAACCAAATCAGGCCGTGAAGACTGATTGGATTTGAGTCGAATCGAACACTCTGTGCTGGTCGTCCTCGTGCGATGTGCTCGCTGAGTTGCCGGAACCCATCGTCGCAAATCTTGTTGCCAGAGAAGCACCACTGTTCGCAATGGGTGCCACAGCCATCCAAAAACTCACACATTCTCCCCAAAGCCACGGATGTCAAGGAATTGTTCGAGAAGTCCAACTCGTGAATTGTCACTCGGGGCTGCAGTCTCATCCACAGCAACCAGTTATCAACATCCTCGTCACACAGCTCCCAGCCGCTGCAATGAATCTTCACCTCCTTCTCAATTTCAACCCAGCACTTTCGCCAGTCTAGTCTTTCCACGCGCCTACGTTTCATCAGGGCCTCTACTGTGCCTGAAAGCGTTCGCTTAGCACCTGGCTGGCAATCATTGCTGCCTTGAGCTTGAGCAGGTTCAGGATTCTCAGTTGGCTCCGGCTCTGCTTCTGCGTGCTCATGAGGCCTCGTTCCGCCTCACAGCTTGGGGACGTGGAAGAACTGGCTCTCACGTTTGCTTCGCTTGGCACCAGGGGTCTCTCTTTTTCAAGGTGCCCTTTTTGGAGTTGGACTAGAGGGAAACTAAAAGGAAACATTCGTGGGATAAGTCCAAACCAGAGTTTGACGCATCTCGTGTTCGCCGCCTGTCCGATTTCCCCAGTTCTCCTCAACCTCTTCGCTCTGATTCTGTGGCCAGTCCTGCGGCTCCTGGCTGAAAAATATCAGCCAGGCCGCAGGCGGCAATAGGAGGGTATCACCAGCAAAACATGGCAGTGGGTCAAAAACATGTACCCAAAATGGGAACCCTGGCAAATGGAAACATGGATTAAATCTGTGGTCCTATGGTGATTTAATTTTGACCCAGAGCCAAAATGGGAATGAAGTAATGCAAACAACATGCCTGCATGTGCTTTGCCCGAACCCGCTGGCAAAATGTTGTCAAAGCACATTTATCGCGGACCGCGGGCAACTCGATGAACGCACGGGTGCTTTCAGCAACTTGGACACTCAGGTATGTGGCTGTGGGTCAAAACCCTGTACCCCTGGTGAACATCAAAATAGGTGGCACATGGGTGTTCATCCGCCCCAAAATGGACCCATGAGGATCATTCCCACCGGCCGTCCTCTTCCCACTTCCAGCTGCTGTCCTGATCCGACTGCGGAGTCGCAGCCTTTGCCATTGCCGCCTGGCGAATTCCCGTGCACGGCTTCCCTTCCCCATGAAAACGCGCACACAAACACACACATACAGGAACACACACCGCTTCCATATGGTCGGCTTTGCCTGGCGCTGTTTGCCCCGTTTCCTGGATTTGGCACCAAACCCGTCCTCCAAATCTTCTGTTCTTCCAGCGCGCTTTGCAAGCACCATGGCTTTTTTGCTCGTGCCTCGGCGGCACAATGACAAGCTTTGACCCACCTGGGTAAATGTTTCCCAAAGAGGAAACAGGACTTTTGGGTTTCCTCTGGCTTGTGTGGGCGAAATTCCGCTTGTCCGCCCGTCTCCGCAGTCGACTACCATTCATATGAGATACTCAAATTCAGAGATGATTGGAGAAGTGGACAGAATCATCATATCTTGTTTGCTTTACCCCCAACCGCGACGTCGTGATACTGCGTGCCCCTTTCATGTCCCTTTGAACCGACCCCAAAAAAGTACCCTCAAAAACGGAAAACCCAAACGGCTGTGGATCAAACATAGCTACCCAATCTGGAACCCTGGCAGATGGCAGCATGGGCTAAATAAAACCTGCTGTCCTCTGGTTTAATGTTGACCCACTGCCAACTCCATCTGTCTTTTTGTGAGGTACCCCTATTTTGTGTTGTTGTCTTTTTGTGGGAAACATCGTCGAGCACCGGGCTTTGAGACAGCGGAGCCGAAGGCGGTGCGGGATCTGCCCTGGGCAGGCCCCTGCCCGACACCTGGCGATCGCGATCGCCTCGAACTTGGCCGAAACGGACTAGAACCCTTGCGTGTTGACCCCACATTTTTCGCAACCCAAAGGGCAACGTCGGATAACCCCCCAAACGGTGGCATCTTTATGAATTTCTCAGGGGGTGTGGGCCCCTCCAAAAGTGGTGGGGTCATCATTACATTATAACCAGAAAAAGAAGGGGTCCAAGCCTGAAAAGCCACAATCACCTTCCGCAGAACAGAATATGGATCCTTTCATCGTTTGAAACGAGCCGATTGACCAAGGCACACAACGGGATCTCATGAGTTTGGGCCGCGCCTTGTTGCATTTCTCACCATGAGCTGGTGCTTCCCCGCGAACGTGCGTCGCGTGGCAACCTCGGAGAAAGTCATATGTGGGTATGGGTCAAAATTACACCACCAGGGGACCGCAGGTTTTAGTTGGTTCCATTTACCAGGGTTCCATTCTGCCTACCCATTTTTGACCCACAACCGGGAATTCTCACATCCTTCTTGGTATCAAGAATGTCACGTACCCCTCGGAAACAGCGTCAATGGTCCTACATTCACCCCCTCTTTGCTGGCACACGGCTGTTTGGGGCACCCCAAGTACACCTGAAGGAGCGCCTCCGTGAATGGATCCCAGCGAATCAAACACATACTCCGTCCTGAGACTCCGACGTTTGCAACAAAAGCCGCCCATTTTCGCTTGCGTCACGCGGAAGTCGCATTGCGGGTGGGCACACTGCTTCATCTGCTTCATGGCGTTGCGACTAAGCCATCTTCTACGAGGAAAGAAAGTGGTTGGCTTCAACATCGGGAGAATGGAGTTGAAGGGGGTCGCCCCCCTTTCTCAATTTTGCTGGGGATGGAAATCATGTGGCGCTTTGTTTTCGATTTGCTCAGCTTGCTGCGTCTTTTTGCAAACTTGCCACACCTCTTGGGATCATCCTGCCAGCTAACACCAATGCAGCTCCGCAAGGTAAGAAAGCGAGACCGATTGCATTAGCATACAGCGGTGTCAACCCCCCGACTGCTTTTGACGTTGATGCTGAAGGGACATCCATGGTTGGTGCTTTCGCGTGCAATACGTCATGCAGGGGGTGAGCCAAAAAACTCCACCAGCCTGAGTCAAGCGCAGGTCACTGACGTCCTTGAACAAGCCACGAGCAAAACAAACATGCTACATGTATCCATCGTCATCATCATCATCATCATCATCACCATCCTCACCATCATCGTCATCGTCATCTTCATCGCCAGCGTCATCGTCAGCGTTATCGTCATCATCTCATCATCATCTCATCATCATCACCATCCTCACCATCATCGTCATCGTCATCTTCATCGCCAGCGTCATCGTCAGCGTTATCGTCATCATCTCATCATCATTTCGTCATCGTCTCATCATCATCTCATCATCATCTCATCTCATCATCTCATCTCATCATCTCATCTCATCATCATCATCTCATCAGCATCTCATCATCATCTCATCTCATCATCTCATCTCATCTCATCATCATCATCATCCTCACCATCATCGTCATCGTCATCTTCATCGCCAGCCTCATCGTCAGCGTTATCGTCATCATCTCATCATCATCTCATCATCTCATCATCATCTCATCATCATGTCATCATCATCTCATCATCATCTCATCATCATCATCTCATCTCATCATCATCATCATCATCATCATCATCATCATCATCATCATCATCTCATCATCATCTCATCATCATCTCATCTCATCATCTCATCTCATCATCTCATCTCATCAGCATCTCATCATCATCACATAATCTCATCATCACTTCATCATCATCTCATCATCATCATCATCATCATCATCATCATCATCATCATCATCATCATCATCATGTTGCTTCATTTCATTTATTATGCTCATTTCGCGCATGGAGCTCAAATGTGACGTCACCTGGTGGCGATATGCAGGGGATGCAAAGGGCGACATTTACAAGGACTTCGGGCGCTCGATTCCACCCTGGACCACTGCCAAGGTGCCTGACGCGGATGCTGCTATCATTATTGTCAAGGCAAGTTCAGGAACTTCCGCGCTACGCACACGAGTTGAAAGATAGTCCGCGCAAAGAAAGCATGAACGCCGAGAAAACATGCGTGCGCGGGATCAGAAACGGACCTTGGCGCAACTCCTACAGCTCTGGAACCGGAGATCGGCAAGCGGCTGGCCAGCTGGCCGCTTGTCGCTGCAAGCAGCGGCAAGAGGACGCGTCTGCATCGCACTATATATATATATATATGTTGGTTTATGTATATTAGATATAAAGAATATATATATATGATATGTATATATATATACAATACTCCGAAAAAATAAATAAAAAAAATATTAAGCCATTACTCAAATGCATGCCTCAACTTTAGGTCAGACACCAAACAGCCTCGAACAAATCGATGCGTACATGTGTGCACATATACACATTGACATATTCTACAACCCGCAACAACCACCTTTTCAGCTTGTGAGATAGAAGTTAAGTTAGCTGAGACAAATAATGGCAACTCACTGAGATGTGTCCTGGCCACAGCTTACGGTCCAATCATTTTTAAGTTGCTACGTGAATGAAGAACTGCATCAGCCATTATATAAATGCACTTGATGCTACACATGAGCATTATCTCCCCGCTCACAACCAAACAAACAGAATGGATTTAAACTTTGCGGAGCCTCTGAGACCATGGTGTAGAGATGGGAGTATGATTCCGGCAAACTAGCTGGAGGCACTTAGCGACATGTCGTGCCAAATATGGACACACTTCAAACACTCCGCCTGCGTATGAAAAGAAGTCCCTTGTTAAGAGCTGGAACTTGCACATAATTATTGCAGCTACCTGAAAGAGGGGTGCTGATCGTGATTTAAAGCTTCTTTGGGGACCCAGTCCTTGAGATTGAAGATTCAAGCGCCAGAGCCAATATTCAACGGCAAACTTCAATCCATCGTGTTTTGTTGGCACAACCACAAATAAATTGACCGATGTGTATGTGTAAACCAAAAACGTAACTCTGATCGAACAAATGACTGCTTGGCTATAACCGAAACTCCGAAAGCCCAAACCACGACACATATCATAACATGTATGGTGTAATCATTTAGCAACATTGAGTGTCACATCTGCACCACAGCGACTTAAGCAATCGTATTTAAAGGGCCCTGTACAGCACAGCCTTGTGTCAACGTGCCAAATACGAGTGAGAAACGTATAGCTAGACAACACATGATACAAACCACACTCAATAAAAGGGTAATGTAAGGGACAGGATTCAGGACCTAGTCAAATTGGGTCATATTGCTTTGAGCACTCAGTTCAACGCTCTAAAGCGCTTGAAAGCGCTGTAAAGCGCTTTGAAGCTCTTCAGCTTGCTGTTGACTCTCCTCAAACCTTGGCCCTATTTAAGCCTTCATCCCTCAACTCAAAAGTTTTAAGATCACGTTGAAGCTCCCAGGGGACCAGAGACCAAGAACCCGGATTGCTCAGGACTCTTCTCAGCAAACCTTAGTTTTTCAGGAATTCCAACAATAGGGAACCAAGGCTTGTTAGGAGTCCTGAGCAATCTTGCTTCTTGGTCTTTGGTCGGCCTGACAGTGCTTTGAATCAAGATTCGCTGGGACGAGTCCTGAACAATCGGAATCTTGAGCAATCTTGGTTCTTGCTTCGTGTTCCCCTGGGAGCTTCCTTGCTGGGTACTCGCTGATACTCTTCCCTACTTGGTGTTCCTACTGATGCTTATCGTGCAAATATGCTATGCATATGTGCTAGTGAATCATACCAACAGATGCATCTGGTTTCTTTATTTTTTCTGATTGCATTCATTCTTTAATTCGCTTCTCTTGCAGCACCTCCAATGCAGCAAATTATCTCTTGTATCTGCCACTCTCGCACTCGCCTTAAGCACGCGGTCGTGCTGGTAGGCAGTGGCAAGCTCTTTGGCTGTTCGTCCTATGGTGTCCGATGCCTTGGCGTGATGGCCGAGCATACGTTTTAGCCAAAACAAGGCAGCCAAATATGAGAAGGATCCAATGGATCAAGGATGTCCATCCATACTGCTTCTGAGTTGCCATAGTATCAGCACCCTGTGCGAGAAGCAGCCGAACCTTGCAAGCACAAGAGAACGAAGCTGTGCTGCGTTGTGTCATCTCAAAAAAGGAGCCATGCTGAAATTTAGTCGCTGAGGGAAAAAGGCACAAGAGCACACCGGGTGATGCACCGTGTCTGCCCTCCCAGCTGATGCAGCTGCAAGCAAAGGCGTGCGGCCTCGCCCACAGAAAGCAACTTGGACTTCAATTGAACTACTTCTCACCTTGAAGATCCTGCTTTTCCAGCTTGGCGCGCGCGGACAAGAGGGTCACGACGGATGCACCATGCCCCCTGAGCGAGATGCTGTACGCGAGTCGCGCGACAGAGCTCTGGCCTGCGAGCTGCGTGGTGCAAAGCTGTACAGCCTGAAGCCAAAGATTCCAATTGAATACTGTCAAGTTAGGGCCGTACTCAGGGATGGTTGCCAGCGGATTGATCTAAGTCTTAGGGTGGCATGCTGACCAGTATTGTCCTCCAGATCAATCCGGGTCTAACACGAGCGATCAGGACGTGCCTTCAGCATCTGCGACTCCCAGAGCTGCCTTGCAGTGCGCATTCGACGCATCTCAAAACAGGAAAACAGGAGAGGGAACCTGTTTTCGTCTGTTTTGACTTTGGTTTCTCTTTTGGAACCCAAGGCCCAAGGCCTCTCAAAAACCCGCCGCTCGATTGGCGTGCTACGAGAACTCGAAGCTCGCCTTCTTTGCGAGCAGCGCTTTGCACAGCTCATGGCGAGCTCCGGCAGCGGCGAGGATCAAGGGCGTGGAGCCATCTTCAGCGGCCTGGCCGAGGCCCAGTACCCCGTTTTTGCTGGTTTCAAGGAGAAACTGAAAGGAAACAAACACATCTTGTTTGAGGGTTTCCCCCTTAAGAAAGGATAGCACCCACATGGGGAAATGACACAACGAGGTGCCCGCGCCTGCTGGAAGTCTGCTTTGGCATCCAGCAGCAGCTTGCATACGTCAATCCTTTGTCCATGAATTCCATGCATCAATGCCTCGGAAAGGCATGCCTGCCCTTCTGACAGCAACAAATGCCTCGATCGCATGCATGCCTCTGTCAAGCTACCGTCCACCCATCAGGGTCTTTGACATCCGGGTTGGCCTTCCTGAGTGCAATCCAGAGCTGCAAAGAATTCGGGCGAAGCAAATACTGAAGCAATGTCCTTTAACCTGGAGGAATCTCCTTTTGGCTGGTTTGGAAGGGAACCCACAAGGACACCAACTATGCTTTTCGGGGGCACTATTTTGAGACAAACCATCTAGTCGTCTTTCTCCCCCAGCGGGAGCATGGGACTCTAGACGGATTTCCAGGGGTGGGAAGCCCCGCTTCTTTGAGACAGAAAATGTCGAGTCTCCGCTCCAACAGAACCCGCACCACATCGGTGCGCCCCCGGGTGGCCGCAGCCATCAAAGCAGTCTGCCTCGCAAAGCGGCCTGCGGAACGAATCGGGATGTTCGATCTTTGGGGGTCTAAAAAAGAGAAACGAAAATAACCTACAATCCAAAGGAAAACTCCAAAGGCAAACAAACAATAAAACAAACAAACATGCAAAACACATTTTCCAGGGTCCAACAACACGTGCATTTGGCGGGGGGTGGTTTTCCCCACTGCCTTGATCCACCAGGCCATCCAAACGGACCCCAGCTCGGCCCAGCAGCTGCTGCACGTCGCCCGTCTCGCCGGCGAAGGCGGCGGCCACGAAACCTGCAGCTGGGTCGGTGCGTGCCGTGCTTTTAGAAGGTACCCCTTGAGGACCACTACGCCTGGCTTTTGAAAAAGAAGGATGTTGAAAGAATGGGGAATTAAGCCCTGGAACTTTGGGGGCCCTCTAGTTTGACACGTTCCCAGTTGGTCCAAGTGGCGCCCCAGTGGGGAGTTTTGGAAACACCCCGGACCACCCAATTGGTGACTGGTTCTTTCTTTTGGCTGTGGAAACAGGCACCCAAAACACACACACACACAAAGAAACACACCCGTTTGAAGGGAAGCCAAGCAGAAATGACCTCTTGGGTGGCAACCCATCGGAGTAATGACCACGAAAAGCGATCCACATCTCCCGCATGTGATTGGCTTGGTCAGCATCTCCTCACTTCCCAAGAAGTTACAACAAACCAAAGAGCTAGGTCAGTCACACCAAAGGGCAACCAAGAAACGCTCTTGATTCGCCGCGGCGGTGGCTTGGATCTCTGCATCTGTGCCGGCCGACCCCAGTTCCTGCACCAAAGCACCGGGTTTTCCGGCCGCCATGTCTGGTCGCACCAAAGGTGCATCCTTGTAGCCAGCAGGGGTAGAGGGCTTGCTGATGCTCGCCCCCGCCGAGCGCCCGATGCCTCCCACTTGACCTCCACGTGGTGCAGTTTGGGGAGGGGCGCGACCATCATCTCCCATCGGCAGCGGCATGCAGGAGCTCACCTCCTCTGTGTCAAGGCCATCACTGCCGCCCACCACGCCAAAGCCAAGGAGCTTCTCCTCTGAAACTACGGTGGACGGCTCTTCCGATCCAGGAACAGGTTCGGCGTCCGGTTCAGTTCGGACCGTTTTGGGACGCACGGGAGACGATGGAAGTGGCGGCGGCCGCGGGGCTGCTTTGGGTTTCGCCTTGGGCTCCAGCCCACACCGCTGCGCACCTGGGCCATCCCAAGCACCCAGTTTTCTCGACTTTGTGACTCACCGAGGCTCGCGCGGATGATGGGCTCAGCTCCTGGTGTCCAGCTCTCGTCTCCCCCCTGGATGGAAGAGCTGCTGCTGTCCAACGACAGGACGGTCAAGCCCAAGTCCGGCCGTACCAAAGATTGCAGCAGCAGCAGCCTGGACCCGTCCTCTCCTTACAGTACTCACATCGCACCCCCCCCCCCCCCGCAAATGCCAGCAGCTGTTCGCCTGGTCCGATTTCGTTTCGCTTTGTTTGGGAAGCAGGGCGCTTGCCCATCCGCGGGGTTGGACTTTGGCGTAGCCTCGTGGTTCGACAGGCTGCGGTGCCTACATAAGCAGCGCACACGCTTCTACAAACTACGAGAGATCCGCTTTGGGGGTTTGTTTGGTGCTGTCGCTTCTCAGTTGGGCTGGCTCAAAGTTGAATCAATGACGTGGGCTCTTGAATCCTTGAGATATTTGTGTTTGCGCGTACCTGACGATAAGTGTCGATAAGTCCGCCGACATTGTTCGGCGTGTCGGATACCTAAGAGAGGGCTATTGGATACCTAAGAGAGGATAGAGGATAACCCCCCCGTTAGCCCCCCCCGGGACACGTCAAATACGCATGGTTTTTCGGTCGCCACCCCCCCCCCCTCCCCCGCGTACCGCGCGGCAATTTGATGACGTTCCACTAAACGTAGTCTTCGGGGAGCGGGTCTGGAGAAACGGGGGTCCCAGGCTCGAATCCTCCCGCCGCCTCTTTCTGCCGGCTGAGGTTTTGTGCTGCCTTTTGCGGAAAACTTTGAGACACACGGTGTTCGGTGTTTTTCCTTTGCTGACACCATTGAAAAAAACATTGTGTTTTCCGATTTCCTTGACAATTGGCACCAATTTCCCCTAATTTCCCCCAATGCTTCCCCGCAAATTGCGCCTTACTTTCTCACCAATTCCCTCCCACTTTCCTTTCAATTTCCATCCGACTTCCCCCCAATTTCCCCCCCAGTTCCCCCAAATGTCCTGGCAAATTCCCCAACCCCAGCTTCCTTCCAAGTGTCGCCCCCAATGCCCTTCGTGTCGGATACTTGGGCCATGCTAAGCCACGCTTCTCGCAAGCAAGAATGCCGTACAAGGGGCAACCTCAACACCCCTCAGAAATCAGCTTATCCGCGCACCCCGCCAAAATGACATGCAGTGGCCATGACATACCACCCAGCACTAAGGTGCCCTAAACGGCGAGCCTTCGGAGGCATGGTTCGGCGCCCTTTTTGGGAGCACCCTCTTGGTGGCACTCAACACTCCGCCGACATTGCTCGGCGTGTCGGGGAGGATGGGGGAACCAGAGAGGACAGAGCATACTAGGGGGACACGGGCGAGAGGAAGAAGGAGACAAGCTAGATGCCAATGTCGGCGGACTGAGCCGGAGGCTCTAAAGTATACTACAAATTATAGGAATTCGGGATTGAGTCCCTGCCTGTTTGCGGATTGCCAAAGTAAATACATCTCTGGCCTTGCAGCTTTCTTTGGAAAGCCTTCATGCTCTAACTGCTGTCACAAGTCTGGCAGGATCCACCGAAATAACCACCTCCTCAGACTCAAGGCCCAGATCTGGAATACTGCACACCGCCTTGTAGCAACAAATGTCCTGGCAAGCCACAACTCTGTATGAAAGCAATGATGGTCTTCCAAGCCAGCAAGGCAAACTGGGCGTTTTTTTTCACATCTCCTGTTAGGTGGGACACAAAGCTTTATGTCCACCAACCCAAACTGGGAGGCTCGTCCCCGCTCAAAATCCCGGGGCATCGGCGTGCAACGTCCGGTCTTTGGTCGTCCATCCCAGCTGCCGGCGCTGGGACTTCACGCCCGCCGGCACGTCCACCGCCGCCTCGAACCTGCGGCGAAAAGCGATCGCCGCGGAGGTTCGAAGCGGCCAAGGAGTTTGCGGCGACTTGTGCCCTCTTGGAATCCACCTGTTTGGAGGAAAACCCGAAAACCCCCAAGTGAAATTGAAGGACACATGTTGTTGATGCTTTGGACGTCTCATGGGGAAGTCCCGACTCCCGAGCTGTCTGAGGTCATGGCCGGTAGGACAAGCCACACCGCCCGAGCCCAGGGGCCTTGGGGTGCCCACGGTATGGAGACAAAGCGACGCGTGTTCAAACAAAAAAAATGGAAGATGTGTGACAAGCACAAAGGAAGGGTAAGGGCTTGGTGCCCTTCCCACTGGACCTGCACCAGGTAAGTTTTCTAGCCCTCAGGTCAGTAGGTGTGGCACTTGCAGGTGGCCCTCGAACACTGATCCACCCAGCGACATAGCTGCCAGTCTGCTGTGCTCTGAAGGTCGTGGGATCTTCAGCTTGGGATTCTTGGACTGGCTTCGTTCCTCTTCATCATCTTGCTCATAAGCCAGGCGGGAGCAGCGCAAGTCTGACAGTTGGTGCTTTGAAATCAAGCGCACAGCAACCAGACCAAGCTGCCCTCGCGCATCTCTTTGGTACCGTGCAAGCATGGAGGCTGCGACCGACTCTCAGACGCTTTGGTGCGGCACGCACCGAAGATCTCCGGCAGAAAAGCTGCGGAAAGACGCAGCTGCCCGAATGTACAGAAAATGCAGCCACGTAGGCAGGCAGCACATTAACGGATTGCCAACTCGGCATAGGATTGAGGGGCCTTTCAGGCCATTGCCCTAAGAAGAGGAGCAGGTTCCTGTGTCTCAGGAGCTATGAGAGGCGGAGGATTAGCAGGATCCACCTCAGTGCTCTTTAAAATATGGCCAAAAAAGTCTTTCATCATAAATCCGCTTTTCCTTTAGCCCTCAACAAAGGTCCCCAAGAATCTGTTGGAACGGCTGGGGACGGGGCTGGCGGGTTGCTGGTCGCTTCGAGCTCCCATGGCTTCATGTCCGCCCTGGCAATGGCAGCAGCGATCGCCTCGATGGGTAGGGGTCGTCCCCAACATCCCAAGGCAACCCATTTCAACACGGTGTGTTATTGTTCCCCCAATATCTGAAAGCTAGAGTTAGAGGGTTCTCCCCAGATAGCCGAAAGCTATAGGGGTTCTAACTTCTACTAAAGAAGGGAAGTGATTTGCGAGATTGATGGCTGGGTCCAAGGGGGCATGCAGCCTTGGGGGGCTGGTGCATGTGCTGCTTTGGGGATGTTGGTGACAGTGCGGGCGCAGTTTTGCGAGATTGACGGCGTGCTAAGGGGCATGCAGTCTGAGGTGCTGGTGAAGGTGCTGTTTTGGGTTGCTGCTTGTGGCGTTTTTTGAGATGCCGGTGACTGTGCGGTCGCATGTTTGCAAGACTGACGGGCCGGGTGCTAGAGGGCATGCAGTTTGGCAGGTGCTGCTTTGGTGCGGGGTGGTGCTGGTAACCCTGCGCTTTTTGTGGGGATTGAAGGCCGGGTGCTCGGTGCTGTCTGGGGCACAGGCGCGGTTTTGCGATTGACGGCAGGGCTAGGGAGCCCGCAGTCTCTGGTGCTGGCGCAGGTGCAGTTTTTGCTATCTGGGTTCTATGCTCGTGTATTTTCTAATAAAGAGGGGAAGTGTTTTGCGAGATTGACGGCTGCGTGCTAGGGCGCATGCAGTTTGGGGTGCTGGCGCAGGTGCTGTTTTGGGGTGCTGGTGACGGTGAGGGTTTTGTGAGATTGACGGCAGGGTGCTATTGGGCATGAAGTTTGGGGTGCCGGTGCAGGTGCTGCTGCTGCTGTTCAGGGTGCTGTTTGAGGTGCACGTGACGGTGCGGGTGCAGTTGTCCGAGATTGGCGGCAGGGTGGGTGCTGCTTGGGGTGTGCTGTTCGGAGGTGCTGGTGTCTAATTACGGGCGCGTTTTGCGAGATTGATGGCAAAAAACTAGAGGGCATGCAGTTTGGGAAAATGGTGCAGGTGCTGTTTTGGGGTGCTGTTTGGCGTGCTGGTTGTGCTGGTGAAGGCGCAGGCGCATTTTTCCCAAGATAGCTTCACATTTAGGGTTCTTACTTCTAAAGTGGTGGGGTTTGTTTGCGAAATCGGTCCAGGTGGGTGCTGCAAGTTCTGGCCAGGGTGCTGGTCAGGTGCTGTTTGTGTGCTTTAAGGCCGTTCCGGTCAAATCTCCCACGTTATCTTGGGTCTATGCTGCTGTAATTGGAGGGTACCCTCTTGGGGTTGGTGGAAGAAAAACCGAACGGAAACCAGTTCCCCAATTTTGAGAGCCACATGGCCCAAAAGGTGATGTTGAAATCAACACAAAGGCAGGGGGTGGCTTAGTGTCCCCTGACCGATCCCATCGAGCTGGCGCCCACCTCGGAATGCTCCGGGCTCGGCATCTGCCCCTCTGGTGTCAGAATCAGGCCTCGAAAGAACCGAGGACGTTTGGCTGTCTCTTGTTAGGGGACCCCCCCAAATAGTGGTTTGACTCTAAACCGTCAAAATGGAGTACCGAGCCTCAAAGACCCATTTCGACATGGGAAACTCAAGCATGGGGCCCTGAAGACTATAGAGAGTCACCCAACGCACGGCAAATCCGGGATCCTGGCATCCCCTGTACGCCAGCCCAGCTTTTCGAGCAACACCTACCTCACGGAATCTGAAGTCCAATGTGAAACAGGACTATCAATTGCATCTAGTGCCAACGTTGCGAACCTAAGGCTCAAACATAGAACAACACCAGCCACTGCAGGTCGTCGTCCGCACCCAGGAGATGCCACTTCTCCTCCAATGCGTTGGATGCTTCTCTTCACTCGGGCTGGCATTGGAATGTGATAGTCGCATGTTCGCCATAGGCGTCCTCTGAAATGATGCCGTTGTCCACCACGGAAAAATCCCACATACCTGGCCTGGGCTTTGGTTGCCAGGGAGCTCAAATGGAGGAGCTGAGCCCTGCACGTGTCCCTCCTCCTCACGCGATAGTCTCTGGTTCGCCAAAGCTTGGCGCCATCCAAAGCCTACAGCAAGCTCACCACTTTGGGTGTTTTGTTGGGCAAGCAAGCCTCCACCAGAAAGGTAGGATGATACCTCTGATTCAGCTTGAAACAATCGAATTCGCTCAGCATGCTCACTTGTCATGACGAAAACTGAGTCAAGCACCAAAAGGTGTTCTTGCCTGAGCCTTTGTACCAAAGCTGGTACCTGCAAAGCGATGTAAACCACGTGTCTTGAGTCGGTTTTGTCGCTTCCCCGGCGCACTGCAAGGCAAACTGTTCGTAGGCCGGATTCGACCCAGCTGCCACCAACCAACTGTGACGATGGTCGCTGCCTGGATCAAAATGGCCCACTAGGATGCTCTCCGCCACCTCGTGCGTGAGCTCTGCACCTAGAAATTTGCGCGGAGCCAAGGAGTTGTGAGGCTTCCAATATGTGGAGAGTCCCATCTTTGAATAAAACAGTTAGAATCTAAATATGTCTCCCGCAGAGCAGTCGTTGCCAGCTGCCTTGCCTCTGAAGTCCTTGCAATCATCGGAAGGCGCCCAAAACCCAGGGGCTTTTGGTTCTACCAGCATGGTTGTGAAGGTGTTTTTCGGCTTTTGTAGTAGACTAAAATGGGCCAATTGGGCTTTTGGGGGCGCTGGACTGTCCCTCCATGCTCGAAGCTCCGTGCCCGGCACCTCTGAACGTCTCCATGGGCTTCGCACGGGGGGTCTGCGGCCGCTCAATCTGCGAGTTCAGCAGGTTCTGTTTCTGCAAAGCGCACCTGGGAGGGAATTTCCAGAGAGCTTGTGGGCATCGCTCACATGACCGGTAAGAATCACTTGCTGCCACAGACACGGGAAGTCCAGTGAGAGTCCCATGCCCTTCAAAAATTAACCATAGACTACCGGCAATTCTGACCGAACATTGTGTTGATTGTCCACCACGTTTCGAGGGATTGATAGCAACCTAGATCCTCTGCAGCCCTGCTGCAGGGAGAATTCCGTGAAGGCGTCGCTCTGGTAGGACACGATGCAACGGTAGGAGCATGACTGGTCGGCAAGACCACACCTGACTCGTATGGGATATGCAGCATGCCACAAGCAAAGAAGCACTGCAAAGCTTCATGCAGTGCCGTTAGTAATGTGCCGCGAGGAATGCATCATATCTGCATCAATTTTGATTGCAGCTTGGCCGAGACGCTGTGAAAGGCATGCAAGGCTCTGAAGACAGCGCGGTTGCGTGAAGCAGTTGCGAAACTGGTCCTGGCACTTGTCCTGAGCTCGGCACTCATTTGAAGATTGCGATTAAAAACCAATCCCATTGCCAATCAGGTTGCGATGGCTCGGAAGATCGTCTCGGACGTGGGAACGGGCCGCTGAGCGGCCATATAGGAGAGGGTCGTCACCTCAAGAAAAGGACCCGGCGCTCGGCCCCGCCCCATGCAATTGTCATCCCAGGAGCCGCTCCGTCGATGAGGACCAGCATCGCATACACCGCCTCTTCAGCAGTGCGGCGGTGCCATAGGTCCATCACATCGCTTCGGAGCTTCACGGCCTGCGGTAATGGGTGTGTGGAATCATTCGGGACCCTTTAGTAAGCATCATTTAGGTGGGGTTCATGTCCACCAACCACACTTTTGATGTGGTTCCCCATTAACGATCGTGGCCACATTCAGGTATCCCCTTACACCTATCCTTTAAACACGTTGCTTTGGAGTCCGATCCGGCCTCCTGGTAACCCCCAAGGGCAGCTTGCACGCCTAGTGGCCCCGGGTCTGAGAGCTGCTGCTCTCCTGCACCTGCATGAAACATCCATCTCATTCCCCACATCCTTTGTACCCAGAAAACTTGAGGAAACGAACCATCCCAGGGATCCACTTTTGGACTATAGACTTAAACCGAAGGGTGGTGCATTCCCAAAAAGAGAACGGGGGTTAAGTCTATCTTGGGGTCCTGGACCATCCCAGGCAGTACGACCTGAAAAGTCGCCCTTTGATCCCATACGGAGCAAAGGGTTGTCTCATGAGGGAACCATAAAGGTTGGTTTCCTTTTGATTGCCCTTTATAACCAACCAGAAAGGGATTCCAAAAAACAAGACACACCCAAGTAGCTCCGCCTGACAAAGAAGTCATGGATGTCCAGAAAGAGCCCACACTGCGATCTTTCGAACCTGGCTTGTTTGCAAGTGGAATCCGTTGCTCCCGTTCCCGCTCCTCGTTTTCTGCCGCAATTTTCGCCAGGCAACTAGAAATGAATAGCCTGGAAGATGCGTTGCGAAGCACTTGCTGCACCATCTCTGAACACTCCTGCATGTTCTCAGTGCATCAAATGGCACAAAAGGCTCAGGCACCGGTCCTTGGGAGGGTCACTCACCAAATCCACGCCCAGGACAAAGTCGAAAGAGGGCAAATTGGATCCAGCTCCCTGTCATGCGGGCTTGAATTGGGTGTCTCTTTTTAAGGGTGCCCCTTTGTTTGTGATTTGAAAGGGAAACCAGAAGAAAAACCTGCAATCCGATCCCAAAAAAACGAGACCCCAACTGGCTCAATAAATTGTGTAAAATATTATCCTGTGGGTTTGAAAGGGAACTTCTATCACTACTGGACAGACATGTTCTTGTTGTTCGTGGCAAGCAGTTGCTGTCAAGAGCAGCGCCTGGCACAGCTCGTTGGTGGACATGGCTCCTAGGGATTTCGTGCCGAGCACTGGCGTCATACGTGTCCGTTTTGGGGGAATAGATGGCCCTGGTAGATGATTAAACCACAAGATAAACCAGTGGCACCTATTTTTCCACCAAAACAACCAGAAAGGGCACCTATGGCTGGCGTTCAACTTACCCCTGAAAAGTCCAGTCCCTAACTCATCTTGGTCGCTCTGTTTTACGGGGGGTCCCGCCCCCGTCCCCGCCCCCTTTCATGGCAATGGTGGGGCTCCCTTTGGTTTCCCTTCAAGCCAACCCCAACAAGGGTACCCACAAAAAGAGCCGTTGCGGCCCCAAAAAAACTAGCCTAGCGATCGCTGAAAGCCAAGGGTAGTGAATAACAATACAAGAATATCAAAACCATGTTGAATCAACTGACATTTGGAACATGCTCCCAGGCCAAGTCAAAAGGAATATTACTCTTGGCCTCAGCCAAACAGAGCAGCTAAACAAGACTGTTCGATGCTCCATTGGTCCATGGTGTCGAGGCAAAAAGCAATACATAAGGAGTACTAAGTACAAACATGAATTCAATACGACAAACTTGGTCTCAGCAGCAAGCTTCAGCAATGCTGCGCAAAATGCCAACGAAAGGAATCGCAAACCGAAGAAGCAGCTCACAGGTCGACGGCAATGACTGAATTCTCAACCGCAGGCGATGGCCTTTCTGATGTTGAGGCCAGACTGGCAGTGTGGCCAGTCAGCCATACACATATGGATGTCATTTGGGCACCCTCAAAATGGGTGTCCCTTTTAAACCACCTCAACAAGGCAAGCGTCACCAAAAAAAACACTCAACGTGTGAACAAATGAAATGTCCCCAGATTTCAACCTGGACTATTGGGGCAGTGATCCAGATTCCCTCGAACATGGCACTGGAGATGCACATTGTATTATTTTGGGACCATCCCCAACAGTTTGGGACCTAGCAAATGGGCATGTCCTTTTTTGGGGGGACCCCCGAAAACATGTCGCTTTTCCTTTCCTTCCCCTTCAACCCGTTCTAACCCGGGTTTTCACCCCGCCTCAAACCCGCCCCCGGCCGGCGCCGGCCGCCGGCCTCGCTCGCTCCGCCCGGGGCCCCGGGCTGAGGTCCGCGGCTCCCGCCAGGTCCCAGCGGACGCGGCGCACCAGCTGCTCGGCGGCCTCCGCCCAGCTGGGCTCCGCGCCCAGCAAGGTGCCCAGATGGGGCACCTCCGCAAAGCCTCGCGCGGAGAAGCGCACGGCCAAATTTTGGGCCGTTTGAGGTTTGGGAGTTTTAGGGTTTAGGGTTTGGGACTTGTGAATTTTAGGGTTTGGAGCTTAGTGTTAGGGTTTGGGGGGGGGGGGGGGTAGGGCATAAGCTTGCTGGTGCGATAGGCAGGGAATAAGTCGGAATGACCCTAAATAAACCATCCAACTGGTGGTTTTTTAGGAGACCCCGAGGCTCATTCCCGCATTCCAGTAAGGCAGAGAACGAGGCACCAACAGATCTGTGGGAACCAGGCGTCAAGAATTCTGCAGAAAAAATGACATGTGAAAAAGCCTAGACTATACTACCATCTCCCCAAAAGCCATGGTACAGAGTGAACAAAGCCAAATACTGCTCGCCTAGTTTGTGGTTTGGACTGGCCCCTACCCTCCAATTGCCCCCGGGCTTCTTCATTGCGGCTCAACTGGCCTTTCCCAAACCTGGCTCCGCGCATGCAGAAGCCCATCGGAGCCAAGAAAAGAACCCTCGTTGATGCGACGTCCACATGGACCCAGCCTGGTGATCCCGCGTCGGGATGGAGCAATAGCACCTTTCACAAAGAGAATGTCTTTGGAACGCGAGCAGCTTGACTGGTTTCAAAGTCCGACAAGGCACGACTGGAGTTGGGGATGCGCTGATTTCTCCATCAACTCCTGCCACTCCACCTTCCTGGCCACGCCAATTTGCAGAAATTGTGTTGCTATTGGTGACAGGCTGAACACGCAAAGCACTGGCAGGCTTGAAAAGAAAGAGAAAGGCGCATACAAAAAACTGGACAGCAGAGTGATGGAACCCGGTCCTGCATTGGAAGTGCCGACGACTTGATCTCTATCTGCCTGCAACTGTGAAGTGTGAGCACGACTTAGATTCGAACGAGCTCAACTCATACAGCTGCCTACGTTGATTCTGGCGATGGCCAGCTGTGTCTTGCAGTTGGCGGACATCGATGCCGCTGCGGCTGCTGCCGCAGAAGCTGGCAGAGGACGATGCGAGCGCCGCTAAGACCTCAACAGCTCGCGCGCACCTGTGGTCGGTATCGGCCTTTCCTGCTTCCAGGTCTGGCAAATTCCACCCCCAAATGGGTACATTTCCACCCCAAAATGGGTACCCTTCACAAAATGGCCTTCCAGCCTACATCTACGCCCTCAGGCCCTCGCGCCCTGGCAGCTCTGGGCCCCCTGCTGGAACTAAAACGAACGTGCCTGCACTTCTTCGCCTGCATCTCCTGGAGGCGGCTCGCGGCAGCACCTGGCACCGTCCGGCTTGGCTTTTGTATCTTTTACTGGGCAAGGTAATGTCTGATTTCCGCATGGATCCCCCGAAAACAACAAACTCAAAAATCGCCCCATATTATGGCCATCCGCACCTCACCGTCGCCACGTACAGCAAGCATCTTTGAGAGCACTGTGCTTCTGTTTGCTCTGTTGCCCTTTTTCGGCATGTCAGCTGCGTCGCGATAAGCTGCCAGCTGATTGTGGTCCCTGCCAAATACAAACTGGCACGTTCTCGTGAGTAATGGGTGCTGGTCTAGCGTGTCTCGTCCGCGGAAACTGCGCCAGGAAAGCGTGACTCGGGTAGTCTTCAATCTGAACATATGTTGCTGTGGCGTCCCAAGCTTAGAGCTGAGGACAATCAGAGCTGAGAACAACTGCACCAAATGAACTCGGCGACACTTAAAGGCAGCACGTGGCCTTTTCTGGCTTGGCAGGCACGCACAAAGTCGCGTTGTGGCCGGATGATGGGCTGCACAATTTGGGGGCGACTCATCGGTGACCAAGCACTGCATGGCAGTGTCTCTCTTCCTATCTTGCACATAACTCGGAAGCTCTGGTCCGACCTCGGCTGACACGCCTCGCTTTGCTTTCAGCTGTCCTCCATTCGCTCGCTCTCTCTCTCTCTCTTGACTCTGTAGCTTCTGGCTGTATGCCTTCTCACAGCGAGATGTTGGCTTGGAAACTCGGAAGTCGGGGGCTGTGGAGAGGGGGGTTTGGGGGTTGTGGAAATTGTGGGGATTTCGCAGGGCTTGGAGGCAGGTCTTGGGTCTTCTCTCCTGGCGCTTGGGGCTTGACACTTCAGAGCCGGCTCTTTGGCTATTTGCCTGCTGCGCTGCTTGACTTCATCCAGTATCATACTAAGTCATGCTCTGGTTTATGCTTTCGCTCTTTGACGGGTGATTATGGTGCTGCAAACGCGGCACACGCACTTGTCTTGGAAGGGCAAAGCCAAGATGCTTGATGTCCGCAGCCATTTTCACATGGGAAGTGCTTCTTTAGAACTTCGCAGCGATTGACAAACTCCAGCTGTCGAGCGTTGCATGCCATACCAGCCTCCAAGGCCACTTACAATGGACAAGATCCGTAATGCTCGAACGCAGCGATTGCACGCGCATGTACAAATACGCCAGTTGATGCAAATGGCCTGCTGGCAGACTTGTTGGCATGCTTGGTTTGGCTTTCCAGTCCTGGGCTGCAACGGCACTCAGGGGCTTCCCTCTTTCTCTTTCATTCCTCAAACAAATCGCTCGATCGCGATTTGCCAAGCTTCATGATGGCCACGTCCGGATGCGGCAGCCACAGCTCGCTGTCCGGCAGTAGTCCCTCGCCCTGGTAACTGGCAAGCATACCAGTTTCTTGAAACTTTCCTGACTTTGCGGACCCAATCTTACCATTCAAGTCACGTGAGCGAGCGGCAAAACCCAAGGCTGCTTTGGGCGATTTCGAATGGGAAGTTATCGTTGCTGGGGTTTCACTATATCGTTCCTGAAGATTTCTGACACTTGTCTTGCGGTTTGGAAAAATTACCGAAGACATATCTCTAGATGAGAGAGTTTAGCCTCTTGCTCAATTGGCAAGGGAAACAACCCCAGTTTCTAACTGCTAGCTCTTTCCCGCAGATTGTGGTCCATGTTTCCACTTACCAGGGCCACCCATTTTGGGTACCTATTTGTGACCCACAGCCATATGAACATCTCAGATTTTGCACCAGGCCCTCGCATCTTGCCTGGCGCCTGTCCACCAACGCCACCGGCACGTGCGACTGCGGATGCCGCAGCAGGATCACTCCTGACCGGGTCGCGCCTAATTTCTCGAAGACGGTTTGATGCCGAAACCGCCGCCCTCAGGCGAACCGGGTATTGCGGCTATGTGTGTATATGTATATATATATATATGTGTATGTGTATAATATATCTATATATGTATTTATGTGTCATGTTAATATATATATATATATTAATATATTGATATGTTTTAGTGGTTCTATATCCTATTCAACCTCTGGGGGTGGTTGGGGGTCTGGCCGTGCATGAGCATGCGCCCTGCCTCGGTGGGAGCCCCTGGGTTGGCCAGGATAGATCTGGAGCTTCGTGGCAATCGCTGGGAACTCCTGGCAAGCGCTCGCCCTCCTCTGGGCATGTGGATGGACCAAAATCCATGGCTGTGGCTCAATAAAATGTACCCACATGGCACCTTGGCAAATAGAACCACAGACTAAAACCTGCGTAACCCTAGCTTTTGATTTTTAAGCCACACCCATTTCGCACCACCTATTAAACAATGGGAAGCTAATTTTGAAATCGAATCATTCCAGGGTTTCTTAGGTGGCGCGAAATAGATTTTGTCCATCCACAGTGGGACCACTTTGCAGCAAGACTCCCCCCAAACGATCGGACAAGCACCCTGCACTCGAGAGTGCACCAATTTGCGGAAATGATGAGGCTCTTAGTCTGCTTTGTTTGCACACCTGCCTCTCTGCTATACGGAAGCTTTCGGTATCTGCCGTCGGAAGCATCCGCAGTTCCTTGGCAATACAGCACGCATGGCAGACGAAGCCTTGTAATTCACAGGCCTAGTGCCACGAAAGAATGAATTGGGAAGCCCGTGTCATGATTTCCACAGGCCTTCTCATGGAATCTACTCGGATTCCTCTAGAATCCAAACCAGGATTAAGTAAGCCCCCAAAGGAGCCTAGATGGAAGATATACAAGTAGAATGCAAATCTTTGGTGGACCTGATTTGAAAGGTGGGGATTCGTGTCTCCACCACACTTAAGGGACTTCCCCATTTGAAATTCAAAAGCCACGCGTCGGAGAGACTCCAAGGTGACGACCAGCTCTGCTTCCTTTAGCAGTGCCTGCAGTTTGGGCTCGTACCTGTCCCTGAGCACGCAGAATTCAACCCTCGGATCCCGAGAACCAAGCGCAAAATGCAACAAGGAACAAACTGTGGCCTCAGCAAATATGATACGTCGCCCAGCTCACCATGTGGCAGTGTGCTGGTTGCCATCCTCTCCAGGAGTTTGGCAATGGAAGAGCCGGCCTCACGTTAGGTTGCAAGCAAGAAACGGCATCCTGCACGGAGCCGACAGCCCTTTAGCCCCGCCGCTGCTTCCTCGGCCTCAGACCTTCTCACAGGGGCCTTCAGCAACCATCAACTCATGAACGACACAGCTGTTGTCCGCTTTAAGTCACTCATGCATGACCCGATGACTCAACTCATTGCTTCGGCGGGCTTCTCAAACCAGTTTGGACGCCCCATTTTTTGGGGGGAAACCCTTGTGGTTGGGTTCAATGCCAAAAACAAAAGAAACTCCTGGAATTTTGCAGGGCTACTCCAGCTTTATGTTGAGAACTTGAGTGTTTTTCTTCAGGGGACCCCCCCCCAAAAAAAAAGGGCGTTCCTTTTCGGAATGCCATAAAACAAAACAAACAATGCTTTCCTTCTTGCCTTCCCTTTAAAACCACCACCAACAAAAAAGGAAACAAAGGGAACCACGCCTCCCCCAGAGCCAAACGGGGAGCCCAACCCCCCCATTTCCCCGCCTTGACGTTGGTCCCCTTGGAGTCCACGTGCTTGGTCCGGGGCACCTCCGGTGCCACGCACTCCCTGCGCGTGCGCAGCCCAGAGCCGTGCCGGAGCCAGTGGTCCCAGCCGGTGCTGGGGAAGCGGGGCCACACGTCCCTCAGCAGCGGCCAGGTGTCGTTGCCTCGCAAAAGAGACCGAAAGGAGACAAGTTAGGATCAGAAGAAAGAGATGCCCAAAAAAGAACAGACGAAGCGAGACAAAGGGGAAACAAAGAGGAAACAAAGAGAGACACAGAGGAGAGAAAGCAAACAAAAGGGAAACAAATAGCAAGAAAGCCAAAGAAAGACAACAAACGAGACACAGAGGCCCAACCCAAACGAAGAGGAGAGCCCTTCACCTTGGCAGAGCTGCGAATCATCCATCCCAAGCCCGGGAAGTAGTCTGTTCTGAAAAGGCGGCGCTCATCAGAGACGACCTCTCTAAAGCCATTGTCATTCCATGCAGAGACGCACCAAAGCGAGGAGTCCTTCTCCAGCAGCGGTGCGGTAATTCGAAAGTACCAGAGAAAGTCCGGCGCGGGCACCAAATCATTTTCCAGCAGAATCGCAAATTCATATCCCGCCACCTCGAAACCTCAGCTCTGGGTGCTGGGCTCTCTGGCTGGTCGCGCAAGTACGCCCCGTTGGTTTGTCCCATGCTCACACGAATGTGGCCAAGAAGCTTTGCGAGAGGGCGAATCTGAAGTGCGACCCAATTTTCGCAACAGCCACCTGATCAACAGGGAGGTGCTCCAATGTTCTCAGGCGCTATGGCTTGGGCAGCCATAGCGCGTCTCGGAAAGATGTTTACCATGCCCTGGAGAGAACGGAGGGGACCGACGGTCAGTTCCCATCCGGGTGCGAACTTGAATTTATCACAGACCCTTTGGTGGACATCAAAACCTCGGTGGGGATTCATGTCCGCCCACTTGTGAGGTGGGTTCCCTATAAACTTCCGCGCGCCCATCTTTGAACAAGGTCCGGCTCCGAGTTGCCTTGTCTCTTGGATCCGCCGGCTTCTTCCAGACCTCCACGCGGTGCTTGGTGGACACCGTCTGGACCACCGCCTCTCTCTCTCCATAAGAGGCGCGCAGGGGACCCACTCAAAGTCTCACCGACCTGAGTTTATCCAATTGTCAAAACATGTTTGAGGGAAGAACCATCCTGCGGAAAACTCCTGCAACTGGCCCTGGGCTTCTGCCAGCTCCGGCACCCGCGCGCCCCGGCCTCCATTTTGGCGAAGGAGGGGCTGTGATCCAGGGAGACGGCCAAGCGGAAGAGCCCAAGGTCTGGCTGCTTCAGCAAGGAGTCCAGGCACCTGCCACTCAGTCACTCGGCTGTGGCGCAAAATATGGTACCAACACAGCACCTTGGCAAATGAAACCAAACACTAAAACCTGCGTAACCCCAGCTCTTTAATTTTGAGCCACGCCCATTCCATTACGCCACTTGCGATGCATCTAAGACGCACCTTGGACAAAAGCGCAAAAGCTTTGTAGAAGAACATGGGGAACTTCGGGTCTGCAGTAGAGTAGTCATGTTGAAGGTATCTCACTTGTCACTCGTTCCCTTTGGATCTAGAAAGAAGAAGGTGCCCGTAAAATCTTCGCTGCCTGGCTTCAAGTCTAGCTTTGCGGTTTTGGGGTTTGTCTTGTGGTGTCTCTTTCGTCCAGTGGGTTCAGGCTTCAGATCCTGTGGCTTGCTTGTCCCCATGAAGCGATATGCTCAGAGGTTCCCGATGAACAGGTTCACGCTCCACCCTGGCCTTCCAGTGCCCGTTTCAGAATGTGTTCTGCCGTTCAGGTCTGGATCGCAGTGATCCAAGTGCTCTAGCTTGGAAGTCATGTAGTCCCAAGATCTAAGCACGTGCTGCTGCTGTCCCGCTGCTGGAACAGGCTTTGCCGGCGATCATAACACGTTGTGTCACCCACAGGAGAAAATGTGAGAAACACCAGGCAGCGGCTCGGGTTGACGCTGCTTGCAGCGTGGACTGGTCACGATTCTTGGGGCTTCTTGCCCAAACGCGAGAAATGAGCTCTTGCTTCTAAACGAGTTTGCAGGGTGCCATCTCGCCTTTCCCAAATGCGGTTGATCCTCCCTATAGAACCAGGCGATCGCCATCCAGCCTCGCCAAGCAATCCGTCCGGTCGTGCGCTATGACCACGATCCCGGCTCTGCCGCCCGCCAGGGGCTTCCACTCGTCGGCGGCAGAAGCCAAAGCGCCCGCGCCCGCGCCGGAGACTGCGGCGCTGGGAGCGCTGGGAGCGCTGACCCTCCAGTCGCTCGGCGCTGGCGGCGCTGTCGACCTGAGAGATGGCAGGGGAAGCCGCAAAAAGGATGCGGCAGGGGAAGCGGCAAAAGGATGTGGCCATGTCTAAGATCCAAGTCGCAACGGAGGGGCTGAAGTTACTCCCTGGACCGCCCTGGCAGGCACGAGTTGCACTCACTCACGCACTCACTCACTCCCTCACTCACCCACCCACCCACCCACCCACCCACCCCCCACCCCCCACCCCCACCCCACCCCCCACCCCCCCCCCCCCCCACCCCCCCCCCCCACCCCCACCCACCCCCACCCCCACCCCACCCCCCACCCCCCACCCCACCCCCACCACCCCACCCCCACCACCCCCCACCATCCCCCACCCCCACCCCCACCACCCCCACCCCCCACCCCCACCCCCACCACCCACCACCCCACCACCCACCACCCACCACCCACCACCCACCACCCACCACCCACCACCCACCACCCACCACCCACCACCCCACCCAACCCCCCACCCCACCCCACCCCACCCACCCCACCCCACCCCACCCCACCCCACCCCACCCCACCCACCCACCCACCCAACCCCACCCACCCACCCGCCCGCCCGCCCGCTCGCTCGCTCGCTCGCTCGCTCGCTCGCTCGCTCGCTCACACTCACTCACTCACCCACCCTCGTCTTACGTGCTGCTGCTTCAAAAGTGCGCCACAGCACAGCACATCAGGCCACAGGGGATTCAAAGCAAAGTCAGATTACGTCAGCACCGATGACATGCTGTCATAGAGCAGCCAATCGCTTCTCGTCGAATGCGTTCGTAAATGCAATTTAGCTAGTAAGCATAGCAACTACAAAGTACCGCTTGGGCGAAAGATGGAAGTTGCCAAACAATGTCAAAAAAGGTGTTCGGCGCTACCTGGCAACTCATATGGCAGCAAGAATGATGCAGTCATCGCTTGCCCCAATGCATGCGCCAAAAGCACCACATAGGTTTGTCTCACAGTGCACGACCTCCCAAAATGGGATATGTGGGGAAGGTCTTTTTGGTGTCCCTTTCGAACAACCCCAAAAACGGACCCCACCGGGTTTCTTGTCTAAAAACATCACCCCACCAAGAGCAAGGCCATAGCCACTCGCACCGCAAGAGAGTTGCTAAAAGCGGTTCAGTCGAACCCTGCTGACCCCCTGCTGAACTCGGGGGGAAAGCCCAGTCGGGCGGTGCCAAAACCCGTTAACCTTTAGTTTGCTTTCCACCTAAAGCGGCCAAAACCCAAGAACTTCTAGTTTGTTTTCCACCTAACGTGGCCCATAGCGTTTCTGCTTCTGTTTTAATTACCAACCCGTCTTCTCCTTTTGCCCCGCCTGCTGGCGCGCTCCACCACCTGCAGTGCCACGGAATGTGCCCGGCGAAGCCGCTGCACTGGGGCGGAACCCGGAGCCTCCCCACCTCGTGCCAGGATTCGACGTGAGACGCCCCACCCAAAGGCATGGAGGGCTCTTGGAACCAAAGGATATGGTTCCCAACTGCCACCTGTCGAGACATCAAAGCCTGGTTCAAAAGGAGCCTATCAAAAACCCAGAAGGTCAAGATCAAGTGGTCAGTCGCTTGGTTTATTGAGTGGAGGCAACTGTGGATTGCGCACCAGTTGGCCAGCAACGATAGACATAGAGAAAGCCCAACTAATTATGTTGTCTGTGTGCCGCTTTAGATTTCAAGCAAGCCTTGCTAGCTCGAAGAGCGTCCTGTCATTGTTCTGATCCACGACAAAACTGAGCGTTCTGCTGATGGCCAGGTACAGAGCTATCAACGCTGTCACAAAGGTAAAGAGAACCTGAGGGCAAGCTACACCCTGACGACACCATTGCTGCCCCCAAGCTGAGGTGACGGCAGCACCTATCAGGATCAGCAGCATCTGCTGAAAGGAGCCTCGCGTTTGCACGAGGGGAAGGTGTTCGGCCGGTCAAAAAAACACGATTTTCAAGCGGCCTCCATTGCACAGGCGCCGGCGACGGCTTGAATTCAGCGCCATGGCGCTCAAGAACTGGCCTTGCCTCTGATCATGGGATGTTGTCAGAAATCACTCTGACAGCCCAAAGGTTTCCTGCTCACTACATAGTTGTCGCCCCACCGGTGCCTGAACCCGTGTCAGGTTGGCACTTGCACCTATCAGTCCTTTGTTCTTTCAATGTAAGCAGGTAGAGCTTCTTTGGCTCTCATCTGCAGGCTCAGAGTGCAAAAAATCCGAACGCACATAAGCTGCCCTTGGAATGCAAGCCGCTGTCCAATGCATGCAAGCTGGTGCGAGCGCTTGCATGTTTACCGCTGCTCAAGATGGCTCCACCCCAAGAGCAACATGCATCCCCGCGAAATTGCCCTGCAAATATGTACTGTAACTGCAGAACTTTATTCTTTGTCAAGTATGATTTCAATGGCGATGCAGTTAAACTCCACGGTGCCATCAGCAGTAAACCCGAGAGCTGCTGCACTGCAAGCTGCAGTGCTTCTGCCCTATGCGCGGCATGAGATCAGCATGTGTTCTCACATGCTCAAACCCGACGGAATCTTCAGTCCTGAGCAGTCACTGCAAAGTTAAGCAATGAGCCATGGCAATCTCATTTGATCCAAGCGGCATGCCCAGGACTTTGCCAGGAGCTCATCAATCTCCTTCAGCCTCAGCAACGGAACCAACGCCCCTGCCTTGCCTTGATAGTCAGACATGAGGCTTGTTCGATCAAACATCTTCCCGATTTGGGATCCCGGTTCCCCTAACGTTCCCTTTGAATGACACACAGGTCCCAACCAAACGGCATCCGCCGCCTCACATGGCCTCTAGCAAGCTTGGGCCCCTGCATGATGCGAGAGTGCTCGCGAACTGGGACCGGCTGCGCAGCCACGCAGGAGATGTTGGTCCGCGTCCTCGAGTCAGACTCGAGTCGCGTGTCGTTTCATGAGCCAGGGGACCACAAGTGGTCCCCTCCATTTACCAGGGCCCATTTGGGCGCCTACCTTTTGAGCCACACAAAGCTGAGCACGTTTAACCACCTCCAAATAAAAGCCTGGGTCTGGTTGATGCAAAGTTGGTCCAAGTTGAGTCAGACTCAAAGCTGAGCACAAGACTCGCCCATGCCCAAGGCCAGGACTCTCCGTTGTAGTTGTCCGGCTTTGCGCGCAGGTGGACCTGTTTGGAGATGATAATTATGATATTTACGGTTAATTTGTCGATTATGAATTTATATTTGATTTTCTTGGGATTAATATGAATAGTCACAGAGCTCTGTGTGGATGGAATGGAGCAAGAGCCGAGCCTGCATGACCTCGCCATAGTAGGCTTCCTTCAGCCTGCTTTCACAGACCTGAGGCCATCGCGACAAACCAAAGGCAGGCCGTGTGGGTGTGTCTGTTTTCGAGGGCGCCCCCTTTTTGGTGGTTGTGAAGCAAAGCTAAAAAGAACACCACCTATTTGGGGGGGTCCCTGATTCAAAAAATGTATTATGAATATTATCATATTTTTTCATAATTAAAAAAGACGCGGGACCCGAATCGCTCTGGTAATCAGCCCTCAGCTTCAGCCCGTTTGCCTCGCGGCTCTCCTGCTCCAGCTGCTGCACCTGAAGACTCACGCGGAGTCGCAAGCTCGGCGACAAGCTCAGCGGGCTTTCGAGGGCACCTTGCTCTGGTTTCAAAGGGAAAGGCAAAACTTTGGGTCCCATTCCTCAAGACACCTAACCTTCGCACCTCCGGGGCTGTGAGGGACAAGACCTTCTCCGCAGCGGGGTGGAATGTGGTGACCCAGAAGTGAGCGCTGGCCTGACACACGCTGACTCAAACCGATTTATCATGCGAAAAAATGAGCCGGGCACAATATCATGAAAAACTCCCAAAAAGACGTCCTGGTTGGTGTGGAATGTAAGTGGTTCCCCAAATTTTCCCCCAAGGTCCTCCTGAACTAAAATAATGCTACTGTTAAGAATTTAGTCAGTCGATCACAACATGTTGGCTGACGAACTGTTGCTTGCACCGTAGCTTCCAAGTCATCATTATTGGTTGTGGATTAATGGCGGACATTCGGTAGTTCCCGCGTGTCCGCCCTACATGAGTGGCATCTCTCTGCAAATAGGGGAACATGAACTGGGTGGTGTCTTTTCTGCAGGTGTCCCGTTACAACAACCAACAAAAGGAGGGTACCCCCAAAGGAAAAACAGCTAAATTAAGATGCGGGTCTGGAGGAACCTCAAAAATGGGTGATTTCCCTTCGGAGTCCATGCAAAACGAGCCTGAAAAGGCCACCCTGAACGGAAAAAAAACAAAAAACCTGCCCATCTTCTTCGTGGCTCACATCCGAGGTGCATCGTCAAAGCGGCAGCGCAGGTTCAGCCTTGGGGCCACCTGGCGCAGGGAGAAAACCGACCTTTTTCTCTGCTGGCGCATTTTCTTGGACCCCTTTTTGGGGGGAGGGGAAAGCTTTTACTTGGACCCCTTTTTTTGGGGGAAGGGATATCCTCCTGAAAACCGACCATTTTGTGGCTCCTTCTTTCCATGTGGGTCTCGTGCCCGCACCTTCCCGGCTTTCTGGCAGGCGGCGCAGAAGCCGTTCTCATCCACCCGGCGGTTGCACGGCAACTTGTTTCCCTCTTTCGGCTCCAAGCAGGCGATGTAGCACAAAGGCCTGAAGTGGGTTCGGTTTCTCGTTTTTTGGGAGTTGGTACCCCCCCCCTTTTTGACAAAAACCAACAGAAAAACCGATGCCTGTTTGGGGTGTCCCTTGAAAAAAGACACACCCAATGGGATTGGTTTGTGGGACCATGGGCATTCAGGGACAAGACCTATGTCTAGGACTTCTTTGACACCCGGCTGAGGTGAGGCTGTTGCCACTGGGCCGATTCTTTTATTTTCAGAGGCTGGAAACCATGGGATATCGGATATCAAATGCCCGGAAGGCCCTGAGAGCTGAGCTGCACCTCGTCCCTCTTTCGAAGCTGCACCTCGGCTCAATTGCCCCATCTTTCCTTGGGTTATTCCGGAATTCTAAGGCAATAACGGACGCAAGGCGGCAGTAGACTGAGTACATTTCTGGCTCACCCAACACCTCGGCTTTTGTGAAATATTACCAAGTGAGACACCTTCTAGCATGGTCTTGGAGTGAAAATCCAGGCCTGCTCGGAAAGCTTCTTCATCTCCATCGCATCTGCATTCTTGCCAGCAGCTCGACCACCACCAGGAACGCCGGTGGTCTAGCCAGCTGGACATCGGGCATCATCGACCAGAAGCATGTTTTCCCAAGCAGCTTCAAATACCAAAACATTTCGGCGCTGCGCAGTTTGCCTGCGAGATGAAGGTGATGGTCTGCTCGTTGCCACCCATCTTCCACCACTCCAAGACCTTAACGTGAGTATGTCTCTTTTTAGGGGTACCCCAAAAAGGGCCGGTGTCTTTGGTGTCCCTTGAAGCCCACAAAAACGGGGCACCGTCCATGAAAGACACACCCATGCCGATTCCGTGCGCTCGAAGATCTTTGCGTCTGGCCTTCTCTGCCTCGGGCATGTCGCTAGGATTCAGCACCATGGATCCTGCCTGGCGAGCGGCAACGCCGAACTACAAGGCTGGAAACCACAAACGATGGCGTATGGCAAGAGGATACTTCAACTCAGCTGGACAAATGACAAGAGCAAACGAAGCGGCAAGACAGGCCCCGTCACACAATAAGAGACAAAGCAGTGAGCAACCGCCATGCAAGAAAATGAAGAAGAAGCGACGTTGCCACTGAGGTCAAATAAAGTAATCCAGCAACTCGGTGGTTGCGGGACGTGGGGCCTGCCAGTCCCACCCAATGACACAGAGTAAACAGTTGCTTTGTGAAGCTGCACGTGTCGCACAGAGGCGTCCTCACGACGAAAACAACACAGAGCATCAAAGGCAATGCATGTGAAGCAGCATGCGTCAAGCATTGCGTGCAACAGCTGCAAAGCAGCTGTGCAGTTGAGTGAGCTAAATGAAAATCGCAAAAACCACCAGCGCACCGAGGGCTCACGATTTGATAGCCGCCCGAAGCAAACAATGTTCAAAGCCAGGAGTTGTTGATGGTCGACCCTCCTCACAGGCTTCACTGATTGAAGGCTAGCACCTCCGTGAGGGCTCGCGTTGTCGCGCTGTTGCTGTTCTTTTTCACGCGCAGCATATCTATTCTTAAAAATCACGCACAAGTGCATGCGAAGAAAGCCAACTCAGCTAGCTTCAGTACTACCGAAGATCTTCTTCAATGTCCTTGCGTTCATTAGTCTCATTATTGTTGTCCTTCTTACTATTGCTTCATCATTATTATTAACCTTATTGAGGTCCCGCTGAAGCTGCAAACCCATGGGGCAGCTAAAACCCAGTTGAGAACGGCACACATGGAAAAGCAAGCTCTGGAGAACAAACCTGAACTCAAAAACTTGTTTTGGTTCCCATTCTCGATGTCAGCTGTCCCCTCAAAAAAAAACTGCGGATTGAACTAACATGCCTTCTGAACTCCAAATAGCCAATGCGCTCACCCAGCCTCCATCAGAGAACCGCTTCGGCCGCCCTGCCACTCCTGTCAGACTTGCTGTTTGCGGTGATTTGGTGCGGCACAGGTTAGATCACAACACGTACTTGCGATAGCCTCACCAAGTCCACGGATGGTGCATCCAGCCAGCCAACTGGCAAGGGTCAAGTCGCCGCCTTAACGAGGACTCCCTTCATGGCCACCACAGGGTTGCCCTGGAAGACAGAGTCGTCCTGGCCAGGCTCAAAGACCCCTTGAGCCGCAAGGGGAGTCATTGCAGCCTACTCTTTTCATTGAGGACAACTGAGGGTCACGACCTTCCAACCTTCCTTTGGAGTGGCTCTTGGAGTCCCTTCGGCATCGTTCTGGCCTTCTGCGCACGATCTCCCCAAATGGTGACCATCAAGCTGAAAGCGCTGTCATCCTGATCTCTCCCACTGCACAGTATTGGACTGCGGAAATTGAGGCGCCGGCGGCAATCGTGAGCTGCCTTTTCACCAAGGCTTTCCTCAAGTGTGAAACACAAGCATAAATGCATGTGCATATATAGAAATATTGTTAAGAGTATACATGCCCTTGGATACATGTCACGGTAGTACAGCTTGGTCTCACCGTGGCTGTACACGTCAAGGCCTTGAGCCTTCAATCCGCCCAGAGGAAATAGACTTGCTACAGCCGCGCTGATACACATCACAGGTATTTCACATTCCGTTCAAAGGCGGATACAACAACAAAGGAAAAGGAAAAGGATATCACAAAGGTAAAGGATACAACAACTACGGCAAATGGAACAAAAGGAAAGCAAGCCACAAACGTATGCTACAGATGCGGTCAACCAGGACACATGCATGGCCAAGCAATACAGAGCGGCCATCTACAACTATGACAACAACAACATGGAAGACAACGACCTCACAGATGACTGGTATCACAACAATCACTACGATGGAAATTGACACCACAGTGACCAGACACAATTGCATTCCAATCAGCAACAACTAGCACTACAACAAGGCAATGAACAGATGCCTTTGATAGTCTCTGGACTTGAAGAAGTGATCATTGCCACAGCAACGGTACAACAACAAGAAGGCGCAAGCAACAGGTACATCGATCTCATGATCGACAGTGGTGCAGCCACACATGTCTGCCCACCATGGTTTGCAACAGAGTCACAAATACAACCACTGACACCGGAAAACGGACCACAGCTGAGGACAGTGACAAACCAGCCAATCAAGCTGCACGGATACACATGGGTTTGCATGAACAACATCAACGGACAACGCATTGTCATACCGTTCTACGTGTGTGACATCAAACAGCCCATACTATCAGTGACAAGACTGATAGAACAAGGATTCCAGACTGTGTTGGATGACAATCCAAGGATACACCACGACAAGGGCTTCGACAGCAGCATCACACGGTCACATGGACTACTCTTCCCACAAGCAGAGATCACAACACTGCCACGAGGAACAGAATTGAAGGTAGACAACACAGAACAAGGACAGGTGGCGATGATAGCACCAACAACCACACTGACACCTCAAGGAGCACAGTACACAGGATATGCAGGAGACTACTGGCAATTCAACAGCCAAGGAGAGCTCGTCAGAGTACATCGGCAATACAGGAAGACAATGTTCACACCAACACGAACACAGTGCCCGGTTTCGACAGATAGACTTGAGAACTACAGAAGAACAATCATCAAAGGAGAGAACGGCACAACAAGAACGATAGAGGATCGATACCAACATCTCGACAATCCAAACCAGGCACAGCCAACACTGTGGAAAGGAGAGACAGTGTTCAGGCTAAAGAAAGGTACAGCACTGCCAGACACACTACAACAGCAACTGGCGGCAAGGCAGCAGCAATCTCAACAGAAAGAGATCACAACATCGAGAGTCACACCACAAGTAATACAATACAAACCACAAATGAGGATAACAGGAAAGCAACCACGACAAACAATACAACAGCAGCAGGCAGAGACGACTGGGACAGGACAAGGAATCCCTCATCCATCGGAACTACAACCCGGTGGAGACTACTGGTACAGAGAAGGACCATACTGGAAGCGAGTCCACGTACAACCACGCGCATCCTACTACATACCAGAGCAAACAGACGATGGACCGGACGTCTCAAAGTTGAGCACGTACAGGCTAACAAAGATACAACCAGCAGCAGGAGGAAACATCAAGGTAGTACAGGACGAATGGACAACTGAGCAATCAAAGACACACGACACACCTTGGACTGGCTTCGAAGAACAAGAGCAGTACCCGGCACAACTGGAGTCAGACGATGAAGAACAGCAACAGGGAAGAAAGGCACGAGCAGTACAAGCACCAAAACAGCCTACACCACGAGAGATACTAGAACACAACGTGACACACCTTCCATACAGGAGCTGGTGTCCAACATGCGTACAGGCTCGCGGTCGGGCAAACAATCACCCAAAGCAACAGAGCACAATGCCAATCCTACAACTAGACTTCGCATACCTAAAAGGCTTCGACGACAGCAAGGTACATCCGATACTCACAGCAATCGACATACAATCAGGCATGATGATGGCGCTACAACTCTCAGAGAAGCAACGACTCTTTGACTACGCCGTACAACAGCTACAGCAGTTCTTGGTAGAGTGCGGCAGAACAACACACGTGATACTGCAATCAAATCAGGAAGACTACTTGATCGCACTTACAAAGGCAGCGGCAAACACAATGGGGAACAAAACTACACGCACTTCACCGGCATACAGTTCACAATCACAAGGAGGCGTACAACGGGCACACCGCACACTCTTCGGACAGATACGAACACTGAGAGCACAAATGTTCCAGAGCTACAACAGGACAATCACCATGAAACACCCCATCATGCCGCGGATAGTGCGACACAGCGCCTACATCGTGAACAGATACGCCATACACGCAAACGGGTTCACAAGCTTCTACAACAGATGGCACAAAGAGCAACATACTCCACTGTGTGAATTCGGCGAAACCGTACAATACCTGGTCTCGTCAATAAAACAGTTCCCAAAGCTAGAACCACGCTTCTTCAATGGAATATGGCTTGGGAAGGATACAACCACAGGCGAATCCCTGATAGGGATATACAACAAGATACTACGTGCACGTACGATACGACCACAGATCAAACCACACAAGTACAACCAACAACTCTTCGACGTGATCAACATGGGACCGCGGAATACACCAGCATCGGCGCTTACTACGCCGACAACGCAGACAACAACCACGCCGACAACATTGCCAATACCACAACGACAACAGCAGACGGCAAAGCAACAAAAGGACGCAACAACGAGCATATCATCAGATGGCAAGCTCAATACAGGCGAACAAAAGGATGAAGGCTCGCCAAAGAAACAGCAGAGAACACAGGAACCCACATCGCCGATGGCAACAGCTCCACCAATGACACAACGACCAGCGCTGCCAATGCCTACATCATCAACAAGACCACGACCGGATGAAGTCACAGAAGGCAGCACAAGTAAACAGCAGAAGACAACAGCAGGAGCAACAGTAAAGGAGAGACCCACTACAGGAGAACAACCACAACGCAGAATGAGGATAAATGCAATGACAGTCAACACACGGGACGGCAAACACATCGAGACAACATCAAATGAGGATCCACAGGAGATAGAAAATGAAAGGATACTACTGGAACCCATACTACATGGCACAGAAGGACTGGATCCAACAAAGGTTGCAACAGGAATGAAGAAGGAGATACAACAAGTGAAGGAACAAGGAGTCTACACCGAAATAGACGGCAACACACTCACGACTGAACAATGGTCCAACATCGTAGAATCCAGATTCAGATGGGTACTACGACCAAAACAACAAGAGGTACGAGCACGAATGGTTGCAAAAGGGTACACCGAAAACCTCAGCGACAATGACCTCATCTACGCAAGCACACCACTGTTCTGTATCCTACGGATACTTCTTACAATGGCATTGTCGAACAACTGGTCAGTACACACAGGAGATGTCAGCGTAGCATTTCTACATGCACCAGCAGCAACACTCAACATCATCATGAGACCACCTCCGGAGTTCTAGGACGACAACAACAGACAAATCATGTGGAAACTGAACAAAGCAATCTACGGTCTGAGGTCATCGCCCAAACAATGGCAAGACCACATAGCAGAAGCGCTTTCGGCACTTGAGTTGACAGGACTCAAAACAGACTCGAACGTTTACAGGAACAGAGCAGGAACGGCTTACATCATGGTCTACGTGGACGATCTACTGTTCATTGGAGAACAAAAGGAGATAGACATCCTGTTTGACAAGATCATGAAACATGTCTTGCTTCGACCAACAGGCAAGCTCACAACTGGCAAAACAATCACCTTCCTTGGAAGAAACATAAACCACAAAGGAGACCACATTGACATTTGTCTGGAAGATGACTACATCGACAACACACTGAAGGAGTCCAACATGACCACATGCAACGCAGCACCAGCACCTGGGACTTCACATCCCAAAACTACAATAGAAGATGAGACAGTTCTTGACCCGGAACAGCATTCAGCCTACAGGCGCTTGGTTGGCAAGATACAATGGCTAGCACACACAAGGCCAGACATCAGCTATGGAGCTAAGGAATTGGCCAGGTCTCTACAAGCACCAACACAGATGGACAACAAGAAACTCAAGCACATGATACGATACCTCAAAGGTACAAGACACTGGAAACACGCACTCAGACCGACAGCACAAATGCAAGACAGGAGGAGTCCAATCAACATCGACATCTACACAGATGCAAATTGGGCATCATGCGAAACAACACGCAAGAGCACAACAGGATTTGTCATACATTTCCTGGGAGCTACAGTTCACTACGGAAGCAGAACACAGGCAACAATAGCCCCGTCGTCAGCAGAGTCAGAGCTATACGCAATTGGTACAGCTGCACAAGAAAGCATCTACATCAGCAACTTCGTCAAGGAAGCTTTGGACACAAAGAGAAACATCAGAATTCATACAAACAGCAGTTCGGCTAAATCAATAGCCATGAGAGAAGGTACATCAAAGAAAGCAAAGCACATAGAGCTACGGTACCTTTTCATGCAACAACTAGTCAAGAACAAGATCATCACAATGTGCAACACAACCCTCGGACACACTGACAAAGTTTGTCCCAACCGACACACTTCACAGACACCTGTGCAAAGTAGGCTTGCCTAGCCAACCTTGACATCAACAAGCACATCAACGACAAGAGTATCACCCACAGTCTGCACTGCAAAGTTTGCACAGTATGTTTAAGCATCAGTTGCACAGGCCACGCACTTTCGTTTTACCACATGTCAGCCGGCTAAACCAGTTTTAGGGTACATTGCCATGGATCTACCCCTTGCGCTTTTACCCTACCTTTTGGGTACAACGACGACCCTGTTTTTGCACTACAATCTCTTGACTGCGGTTTCAC